CTGCTGGGAGAGAACATTCGGGTGCGGCAAAATGTTCTCTCCCAGCAGACAAACTCCCCTGGCATGTTATCTCTCTGTTTGGCCGATTTATAGTCTTTCCAGTCGCCTCCCTAGCTGCTACAGGAAACGTCTGACCGTTTTCAAAATCTATCCAGTGTTATGTATGAGCGCTTTCAAGTTGGTATCTTATTATCTGGAGTCGAGTCTAACGTTCATCCAGGTAATAAGATACAAATTTGAAAGGGCTTAAAATGGTACATACTGCTTTCTCTGCTTATCACTCAGCATTTGGAGTATGGGAGTTTAACACACGACACTACCAGTGGACTAGCCCCGCTGTATAATGATTGCACTGATGTGTGGCCCAGGGCTGTTGAAACGGAGATGGGCGCTGCCCTATGCGTCACTTGACGCGGGAAAGAACAAGTTACTTTAACTTTAACTCTTTAACCTTCATTGACGTCCTTTCATGATGTTCTTTTTCAACTTTATCATGTCCGTCACTTTTCACCAATCAGGGAGCCTCGGCTCACGTGACGACGGAGAACCCTTCCTATTGGTCGCTGACAACATCCTCGACAGCATTTTTCAAGTCAACGCCACTTCCGGTTCAAGGTTCCAACTTCCGCTGGGAGGCCCAAGATTCCCGATTTCCGTGGACTACGACCCGACGACTGACTTCGTGTACTGGTCAGATGGGTGGGACAGACATATCAAACGGGCACGAAGAGATGGGGGTGGGATGGAGACCATTGTCACAGATGGCGTCTATGGTGAGTCTTCTTACAAGATACAAGATGCGCCAAAAAGCAGTTACTCGAGGCAACTGGATATGATTTTGAAAACGTCATATTCATAATCATATCCAGTTTTCAAAATCATATCCAGTTGCTTGAGTAACTGATTTTTGGCGTATCGTATTACCTTCATCGACGTAAGATACAAGATGACTTTATTCGTTTTAGCAGTGTGTATAAGACTGAATTAAAATCGAATTTACATGTGAAAAGAATCTCAATTAGATAAAAACAGTTGCCATAAGTAAACTATTGTCGTTATAAAATGTAGGCGCAGTTACATGATATATGTACCTATAGATATATACAAACAAGTTTTTCATGTCCGACAAAATTACAAAACAGACTGTTACTTAGCATTCCAGACTTTGCCAAGGGAATGCTTTGACAAAGACTGAAGTTGTAAAGTAAAAAATGTGGGTAAGTCCAATCCATTGTGTTGGAAATGACAGTCTAAACTAGCTTCACAATGTAATGAAAGTCGCGCACGTCTTCAGCATGAGTTGGTAAATTACATTATGAAAAAATTAAACTGTTCTCCAACTCATAAATTTCACTCACCGGAATTTTCGACTGAATCACTCAGTCTTCCTCAGCTATCGGGGGGCGATATCGACTTCAGACAACCTTTGACCCTTTGCTGACGTCACACATGGGAAAAATCACGTGTCTACAGCATTTGGGTCAAATAGGTGAGGAAGACTGAGTGATTAAGTCTAAAATTCCGGTGAGAGAAATTTATGAGTTGGAGAACAGTTTACATTTTTCATAATTGCGCACCTCCTCTCCAGCCGCCTATGGCCTGGCCCTGGACCACGCGGGAGGTAACGTGTACTGGACCGACTCGATAGCCAGTACGGTCTCGGTAGCCCGGATGGACGGAACGTTCGCTAGGTCACTTCTGACGTCACCGGCGGTCGGGAGTCCAGCAGGTCTGGTCTTGGACCCAAGAAACGGGTAACTTACCATTGATTGTAAAAAAAATCATGAGCACTCTTTACGTATATTCCTGATATGAACGGCCCTGCACGGCCTGAGGTAAACGGTAGCTTGTTTTGGGGCTCTTTCAAAAGCTTTAAGTATGAAATGATGATGAAAGTGTACTAAGAAATGGCAGTAAATGTCAATATCAAAGAGATTTTCTCTTTCAGAATATGTTTTTTTTTGTTTTGCAGCCCTGAAAGAGCCATTTTTAAGATATTCTGACTTTCTCAAAATTTCCATTTTAAAGATACATGTACTGGACAGACTGGGGAATTGATGCTAGAATAGACCGTGCTGCGATGGACGGCAGTAACCAGACAACCATCATCAGCAACCTGACGGATCCAAACATGATCACTATAGATTACAAAGGTGAGCCTACAAAGTTTAAGACCTTTAGGAATTTTTCTATCGTACAGTGCGTCTAGTCTCCATTAGACTCCTTTACAGGCTAAATAAATACATGTTGTCAAAAGCGGCATACCCTTGATGCCCACGGTTGATTGATTGATTGATTGATTGATTGATTGATAAGTTAGCTGACCATAGAATGAGGCAAAGCAGTCCTACTATGGCCGGCTAACTCCTTTGGCCAATTTACCAATTATATCCCTTTATATGCCGATTTAGACTATTATTCAGCCTGCAAAGGAGTCTGGTGGAGACATCTTCTGTGTACAATATACATGCAAAGAAACAAAAAAGTAAAACTTCTTTTTGTTTCTTTGTATGTACATTTTCAATACACATTTGGATAATCATAGCGACTCTTGAGCTCGTCCTGACTGACATGAATGATTTGTTTCTTCGTCCGATCCAGAGAACCGGCTGTATTACAGTGATGGGTACGCCTACAGCCTCTACAGTTCAGACCTGCTCGGTAACGACATTCGCCGACTGTTCTACGAAGACGGGAATTATCTCTTTGGGATTGGCATTGATGACGACAACATCTACTGGACGTCTTGGACAAATGACCAAATCCTGATGTGAGGAACCCAATGTTGTTGTAGATAGATTCTTCTCCTCTGACAACTGTATGTCTGCAACCATTTTAGCTTTAGTACACGCTCTCGGCTTGCTTTTCTGCCAAAAAGACTGAACCCGCACACATATTCTATCCTTCTTGTGACGACGTCGCCGTAAGAACCTCAAGTATTGGGTGGGTCCTCTGCTGATTGGCTGACCCCATACCCCATTGGCTCAGGTTTGGCCAATCAGCTCGCCTGTTAAAAATCTGGGAAATATTTAAACTACAGACCAATATGTGTTGATTCTGTCTTTTTGGTAGCGACCAAGAGAGCGTACTAAAAATCTAACAAGGCTGGCAGCCAGGCTTATTTCTTAGCAGATTAGGTGCATTTTGTTGTCTGTGTAGATGAATAGTTTCTTACCTTACATCCTTCTCCATCGTTGCCGACTATTCCACTGGCAGTAACTATATGCGAGTTTGTTACAGAATTCTAGAAACAATACGATGATGAGTTACTTACTCACAGGTTGCCGAGGTCGAACTTGGACCAGAATGAGACCGTCCTTGTTGATGGCCTGGGAACACCGAACGACATCTACGTGTCCGGGGAATCTCTTGTGGATGTCACCAATGGTAAGTATCGTCTGTTAGAAATGCTCATCAATATACTAGTATCTCTTTGTTGAGATATTATTTAAGATATCTGTTACTTCCAGGTAATGATTTAGAAGTATTGTTTTGGGTAGGTGTGTCCGTGTGTTTGTGTGTGTGCTTGACCGGACAGAGTAGGTTGGCAGCACATGGGTGGGAGAAGATTGACTGGCAGCATAACAAAAAGTCAAAAGGTCACAGGTATGTGAAAAAGTGGTGAACTTAATGGTCCCAGCATCTGCCCAGGTAGGACCCAGCAGAAAATATAGGTTGGATCATGGAGATAACTCCATGGTCGGATTGAAGGTCACTGTTTCAGAAAAATTCCCGATTAAAATACATGTACATCTATATGTTAGCGGGCAAAGCCTCCGATGGGGCATACAATCTTCTCAGTTGTTCCAATGTCAATAAATTCACAAAAGCCCAAAATATTTATCTGAAGTCTGAAAGTTGCCAGTTCTTGTTGTGACATGTTCTATTGAGAAAATGCAATCAACTGTTGATGTGTATTACCAGGGTGTTCTCAGTCGAACGGAGGGTGTCAGGATCTGTGCCTGGCGCGTCCCGGTGGACGGACCTGCGCCTGCCGAGCTTTGTGGGAACTGCACCAAGATGAAATGAACTGTCTTCCACCAGGTAACACGAAAAATGAGAAAATTTTAATTCTTCCTTATTTCAGTATAATAATGTCAATTTCTTTGTTATTCATGTCATGTTCAGGTCGTCCTCACATTAGGACGACCTGAACTGAACCTATTGTTACAAAGGAAAATAGACCTCAACCGTTATCTGTGTGTAATACATCTGTACTGTTATGTAAAGAAAAGACATGGGAACGTCAAACTCTTTGCAATTCATCTTGCAGCACTTCTTACGTCTTAATCCTTTCTTCTCATTATTTGCATTACAGGTCTAGTCATTGTTACACTTTTTACACATTTCTGATGTCACGATGTTTTTTTCTGTATGTCCAGACATACTATGTCGTGAAGAAGTAAAAGCCATACATTCTTTCCTAGAACTATCGCAGAGTGGAAGTACCGTATGGGCATTGTCACTAGATAGCTTTAAACAAAGTCTAGAGTTAGCGTGCCTGCGAAGCTGGTGTGTTACGCCGAAAGGCGGTTATACCGGCTATACAGATACAGAAGCTGGTGTGTTACGCCGAAAGGTGGTTATACCGGCTATACAGATACAGATATACAAATTTGACCCTTACCACAGATCTTGTGTCTCCGAGCTACCTCTGGCTGGACCACAGTTACAGAACAGGCGTGACGTCAGTGAAGATGATTCCCGGAAACGGCAGCGTCATCCGGGAGTTAGACGACCAAGGTCGCAATCTTCCCGTCACCGTGCTCTTCAGTTCTGCTGAACCCTCCAGGATAGAGGCGATCGACTACGACTTTCAGCGCAACCTGATCTTCTGGGTGGACACCGGTCTGAGGGAAATACACACGGTACGATACCTCGACGTAGACCTGTATTGTTCCGTAGTACGTAATATAACTATCATTCAAAAGAATCTTTACAAGATACACGTTTGTATTGTTTCATTGTATATAATGGATTTACATTTCAAAAGCGGTAGTCTTCACAACGTGTAAGTTTGTATTGTTTCTAAGTACGCGCCAAGTACATAGATTTCAGAATTCCCGGAAGTTATAGTATTCAGTCCTCGGCCTCCTGAAGTCCCCCATGTCCAGAATTCATGCATGCTCTAATAATGGCTATTTCCTGTGTCTCACCTTTTGACCGCTTGCCATTCTATCTGTAAATCATGAACTTATTGACTGAAGAATTTTGTATATGTTGTTCACTGTCAGGTTGATACACAAGACAGCAAGATCCAGTCCTTCACCACTCTGTTTGAGGGCATCTCGTCCGGAGTGGAGGGCTTGGCGGTCGACTGGTTAAACCAGAACCTGTACTACACTGACCCGTACTTCAACTGGATCGGCGTGGTCAGCTACAAGTACATACCGGCACGGCACCACGTCATCGTCCACGAAGGCCTGTCGAGACCCCGCGGCATTGCCGTTCATCCGCAGAGAGGGTATGTAGCTGGACATTTTTGATACCACTAGACGTGAAAAGAAAATGTGTCCCCAAGATTTAATGAAAACAATACAAGATAGGCAGTAGGGTGGACAGTCAAGTGGTTAGTGTCTCTGGACTACGAATCGCGGCTGTTGTCGCACACCTGGCTTGCAAGGTACTTGAAAGGGCAGGCTATTCAATGTGCTCTTCGAAAGGTTCTTCGATGTACTCTTTGAGAAGCTATAAGAGCCAGTGAGCTCCTTTGTAGATACAATGAACATGTAAATGCCTGATCGCCTCCTGCACAGACTACCCCATCGATATGGACACATACGCTGTATTATTACTTTATTATACATGTATACATATTATACATGTATACATACATTAAAACTTTGTCCAGCGACCAGTGCTATAATTGATAAGTCGACCATCGGCTTTTTTGTGCTTACGCGATCAGGATAAAGTTTGTACCCTCTGCATGGGGCTTTTGAAATTAGTTTTGAATGACAACGTAATATTGTTTTATGTTTCACTAACTAGGTACCTATTCTGGAGCGAAAGGAGTACCTCCACAATAGAGCGGTCTGCGTTGTCAGGACAGCAGCGGACCAAAATCGTGATAGTAGACATCCAGTTCCCCAGTGGCCTCGTCATTAATGGCGACAGGTGGGAATCTTTAACTTCAAAGCCATCATTACACAATCCGTGATGTTGTTCCTGGTGTCACTGACGAAAGGTAGCGGATGCTACCTGAAAGGTCTGACCGTTTCCAAGATCATAACCGATTTCTTGAGTAACTGTTTTTTGGCGTATCTTACTACCTATTTATTTATTTTTATTTATTTATCTTAACAACGTATGGGTAGTCTCTTCAGCCCCGCAGGGCTGATTTCCAAGAGAGCCCATAATAAATAAACAAGAATATAATGCAAACAATGATACAGAAAAGATAATATAACATAAATTAAATCAACATAAATTAAGCACAACAGTCGGTCGATGGTCTTTGGAGGGCCAGAGGTCAAATTCCGAGTAACTTAGGAAATGATACAAAAATAGTAGTAATAATTGAAAATAAGAATGATGAATCATATAAAAAATCAAACAAATCAATAAACATAGTTAAATCAAGGTTGTCGAGATCGTCATTGGGTAGTCAGGTGTCAGATGGGTTCAGATCTTAGTCTGTCTTTAAAGGCTTTAAGTGTGAGTGCTTGTTTTACGTTACATTTTAGTGAGTTGTATGTTACTGCTGCCCTGTACGCAAAGGTACGTTGTCCTGCTTTTGAAGTGTAGTTGGGTCTGTGCAGGAGATGTGATTGTCTAGTGTGGTAGTTGTGGATTTGATTATTATAATTGAACGTGTTCAGTAGATAGCTCGGGGCTAATCCATGGAGACATTTGTACACCATAACACAAACGTGGCGTGTTCTTCGTTCCTGCAGTTGACTCCATCCAAGTGCTTGGTGCAGTTCCCCCACATTCGATCTCGATTCACGTCTGAGAATGATTCGTGCAGCCCGGTTCTGTAGAATCTGTAGTCGTTGCTTGTTGGTTGTGCTACAGTTGTCCCAGACCACATCACAGTATTCAAGTAGCGGTAAAGCAAAGGTTTTGTACAACATATTGGATGTGTAATCTTCACCAATGCATCCAAGATGTTGTTTTATGGAGAGAAATGGTTTGTGGATCTTACAATTGATAAGACTACTATGAATAGTTTGTTATAATTAAACTTCAATCCGTTTAAGTCATCAAGATTATTTCTGTATCTGTATAGCCAACACAAGCACCCTTCGGTGAGAATGCCCCTTGCTGGTAGGCAGTTCAACTCTATGACAGCTTTAGGAAAATGCGTTTTTGAACAATGAAAAATGAATCTTTGGTTGAAACCTCCGTTTTAAACAGCCATTTACTATTACTTCGAGGAATGTCTGAAGACGTTATTACTGTAACTTTAATTCTATTTGTGATTTTACAGGCTGTTTTGGGCAGACACGTTCCGTGACCGAATCGAATCATGTGATCTAAACGGTGACAACAGGGAGGTGTTCTTTACATATTTTGGGACACATTTCTACGACATCACAACTGATGGGGTAAGGATATCGCAGTGATTTCATGATTATCTTAATTAACAAGGAAAACTAAGTTCCTGCCAAGTCAAAGTACTTGTATCATAATTAAAAAAACGAGATCGGAGATTTTAGACTTCAGGGAAGTATCGAAGGGGCCCCTTATGCTGTCATCGGCTTCCTGAATTTTTCTTGGCTCCAGGCCAGAGTCATCTTCCTTGTCTGAAATCATGACTGTCATTCTGGCTGTCAATCTTCCCCACCCAAGTGCTGTCAACCGATTCAATCCAGACAAACATACAAAGTCATTGCTCAGCCACCCAAAATAGGCTACTGATTTCTGGAAATGACAGATTGTTTTATAACCACAAATCACTTCAGTATGCTAAAGATTAAAAAGATATAAACTGACTAATCTCCAAGCAGATTCTGTGGGGTGATGGGAGTCTATAGTATATTGGTTGTCTATATTGGATCAAGGCGGTCAATATAGACTACCCATGCCCCACAGAATCTGCTTGGAGATAAGAAACTGATGGACACTTTTCTTGCATACACCATGTGCAGGTGAGCATCGCGGCGACTGACTGGGCGGATGACTCCATCAACTTCCTGTACGGAGGTGAAACGAGCGGTAGTTTCTTACACTATGGCGACGGAACCGTGTATGGGGTGGAATACTTCGACCAAAGTCGCCAGCCACCAGGCCAAAGTAGGTTTCATTTAAACATACATAGACTGTATGCGATGAACGTGTGATGATTATGGTATGTTAGTCACCCACGACGTCCTTGCTATGAAACGTTGTGACCATAGCATGACAAGAAAATGACGTATCAAAACCTCACGTTTTACTGGAGTACCAAGAAAAGCCACCAGGGGCTCTAAAATCCAATCGTACCATTGATAGGCCATGACCTAGCCACGTACCATATTTCATGACAAACCATTTGTAGCTTCTCGAGTTCTGGTGCTAAAGCACAAACATCCAAACAAACAAACATCCTAAACAAACAAATATAGTACCAAAAATATGACCTTCTAGCCGAAGGTAGAAATACACCTAGTAGACTTACCTAGTCTCTAGACCGACCAGGTCGTGGGGGAGACAAGGCAGAGACTTCCTTTGTGCTGCAGATGTCAGTAACCAGATTCTTTATTGACTCAGTACAGGACAGGGACTTTGGTATGGCCTACTACCACTAAGATCCAACAAAATTCAACACATGTAAAATGTGTAATCTGTGCCTTATTTCCGTTGTCCAGCGGAGTGCCAGGTGGACAATGGTGGATGCAACCATACCTGCGTGGGGGACCCAGACGGACACAGGTGTTTGTGTTTATTGAATTTTCACCTGGCCGAGGACAACCATACCTGCATCGCAAGTAAGAACATTTTGTATTTCGTTTTCAAGTAAGACCATTTTGTGTGTCGTTTGAAGATGCGAAATACGACGTGGACTAGACATTTCTTGTGGCAGACAATCTTTAAAGCTCTAGAACACAGATGTAAATGGTAAGAACTGTATTAAAGCAATAAACCTCCTATATAAGTCTTAAGACGACTTAATTGTATTTTTTACACAGACGAACATCAGTTCTCGAAGGCCGTCTTCGTCGGAAGCGATTCTGGTATTCTTCAGTTGCCGCACAACTTCCTTGATCTGCCTGAAGCCGGCGACTGGACAGGCTCCTACATCGTGCGAGGAACCAAAGCCTTCGCTATGGACTTCGATTACGCAGGTGTGTCTTTTTAACGCCACTCTGTGATAAATGGATGATGGAATGAAAAGCTAACTGAAAAACGTTCTCTTAAGCAAACGATTATCACCGTCTTCATAGGTTATCTAAATCACTTCCGTCATACGTCAGTCTTTCTGAAACATGTCGTCAGGGGAGTGTGTAAGGCACCTTAGGAAGTCGATACCGCCCACCGTCCCGGTTGACGGGCTATGTCGATGAACGTTAGACATCCAGGTATTACGATACGCCAAGAAGCAGTTACTCAAGCAACTGGATATGATTTTGGAAAATCATATCCAGAATCATATCCAGTTGCTTTTTTGGCGGATTGGCTGTCTACATTAATGTTGTACATTATACCCCTCAGAGTTATGCTGTGTCCATAATAATCAGTGTGCAGATGTGTTCCTGACACCACCATGTAGTATTCATCTAACTCCTCGACGATTTGCGTTCCCACAGGGAAGATGCTGTTCTACACACAACAGCAGAACGACGGAACACAGACCATAGAGAGGTTCCTATTCATCGGCGAAGGCAGTTCAATGACGGTTTTCCAAAATGGACAGGGGATAGAAGGTAAAGTTATTTCGTTATCCTAAACTCAAGTCTCCTATTCCGATGGCCTTTCTTTTTAGGAGAGCAAACGTAAAGCAGCGTCTATGCTTTCAAATACATTACAGACAATGTACAGACGTTAGTTATTATTTCTCGAGTCTCATTTTGGTATCAGAGGTTGACCAACGGAAAGGTCGCTAGGTCCTGAAAATATAATCAATCCATCCATCAATCCATCAATCAATCAATCCATCAATTGATCCACTGGTGTCATCTCAGGAACTAATTAATGGTCCCTAGGGCCCCAAGAGCTTTAGTCATGCATAACACTTTGTCATTTCATTCTTTGTATAAAAGGCATTGCCGTTGACTGGGTGGCCTCCAACCTGTACTGGACCGAGCGCCAACTCGGAAGGATCCACGTGTCCAAACTGGACGGATCGCTGAGGAAGGTTCTGATGTCCGGCCTGGGCCAGCCAAGTTCCATCACAGTGCATCCAGAACAATCGTAAGTGCCATGCAGAAAGTGTAAAACTCCAAACGAATAAATTATTACAAAAAAATTAGAGATTTCCGAAAGGTAGATATAGTTTGCGTTAACGAATTACATAATAGAATGCTGCATGCATTATTGCTCACAATTGTAAGACGAACCTTATTCTGCTATTACACCATGGCTTGTGTTTCATATATTTCTGCTGACAACATCCTTGAACCCAAGGCAAACTGCCTCAAAACCCTGTCAATGAATTGAAATTCCTATTTCCACCAACTCATTTTGGAATCCTGACAAATAAACCGAGCATAAAATGCATATGGTTCCACCCAAAACATTACTTTTTCATCCCAGTACTACTAAAGATATGCTCTGCTAGCTTGCTACTGCTTCCATGATTTTACCACTATTTTTTTCGTATAGGTACGTGTTCTGGACAGAGGTTGGTGCGAACCCCAAGATTTCCCGGGCCTCTCCAGACGGTAGCAACAAAATGGTGCTCGTCTCCTCCCAAACAAATGACCTGACTGGGAGTCCCACTGCTTTGGCCATTGATTACAACGAAGAAAGGTACGCCTTCTTGTAGATTTATAGCTTCCATGTTTAGCATATGTACATGTCTGCAGAGGATGACTCCAATACCTTGGTAACACAGTGATGATACATTGCAGGTTATACTGGGTGACAACAAACCCAGGAAGTGTGGAGTCCTGTAACTTTGACGGTTGGTACGCGAGGACCTTACGGTCAGCGGACAATGCGGAACTTTTTGGCGTTGCCTTCTATAAGGTAAGGCATTCCGTCTGTTTTTCTACCTCGACTTTCATCTCTGTTCTACTAGCGTTCTTTTGTCTTCAAGTTTTACTGTCGGTGTACTTCTACGAGTACTAATTATGCTCACAAGTAGTTAATGTTCCAAGTCATCTACATTTTCTGGCCATATCGTGGAGTACTGAAAGCTTAGAATCCCATCAGTTTGATTTACAATTTGCATTGTTTAAGCCTTTGCAACAATTATGATACTCCTCCAATATTCATAAAACTTATTTATTTTGTTCAAAAATTTATTTCTTTACAGGATTATGCTCTATGGACAGACAACAGCAACCAGACCTTGACATATGGAAGGGCATATTCCGGAGAAACCCACTACGACAGCAGGACTGTAGCATTGTCGACAGCGGCATACAACATCAAGGTTTACGATGACACAGAGCAGCTGTTACATACAAGTAAGCCACATCATCATTGCTTGGAACCTTTAAAAACGATAAGCAACACATCGTCATTAACTAATGCTATTTCTGGAGTGAGCACAACTTTTGAAACGATGAGTAAGATATATCATCATTGGTTGTCGCTGGTATTGGCACGATATGCAAAACAACAACATTGGTTGATGGTATTTATGGTGTCAGCACCACCTTTTGAAACGATAAGTAAGCATCGACATTCAATTTGTTTAATACTATTTCTGTATTAGGACAACTTTTGTAAACGATAATTAAAACAAAGGCTTTGTAGCAGTATCAAGGATACGAAAACAAAAGTTATTCTCAGAAACATTTGTTATATTTTATATTAAAAGGTGCATGTGACCAGCGGAATGGCGGATGTATGGAGTTATGTCTGCCACTGGAAAACAGTCGCGTGTGCGCCTGTGGAGAAGGGCGCTACCTCCAGGCGGACGCTGTGAGCTGTTCTCACGTCAGACCTACCAACATGCCAACCACCCCATCGCCAACAGGTACACATGGGGATCCTTGATTTACGCAGTACCTTTGTTAATGAGATAAAGTTATAGAACAGAAGTATGCACACCTAACAAAGGATGACAGGTTCTTACATTTAATTTCTTCATTTAACCAAGATGTAAATGTCTCAAGAAGAGAGAAGAAACGTGTAAAACATAAAAAAAGATAAAGAACATAGCATAGTTTCCCTATCATAGTACTTATATGTAGCCTACTAACTGCATTTAGCTCCGGTGGGGTATGAATATGCAATAAACTCCATTGTAATTTAATCAAAACAGACTGTATGAAAAGCTATCTTGTTATCTTAAGTCATCAAAAATACCTAACTAAGATGTTAAGTTTCATTTTATACCTTTTCTCTTTGCATTTGTTCTGTTGCAGTTCGGACCTCAAGCGAAGACTTCCTACTGGTAGCCGATCATGATACAGGCTACATCACCGAGGTCAACGTCACTTCCGGTTCAAACGTCACACTTCCGCTACATTCCCTCGCTCCCCTTGCCCTCGACTACGATGTACAAACAGACTTTGTCTACTGGTCTGACTGGGTTGACGAGACAATCTATCGGGCTAAAAGAGATGGCTCTGGGTTTGAGGCGATTGTTGACAACACCCAAGTCAGTAAGTATGATATGCCTGTCTTAGGCGAAATTCCTCTGCTCACCCTATACTTAGATGTGTTTGATGCACAATATGCTAGTGTGAAAGTCTAAATGTAAATGCATACTGACAAGCTACTACAGTGAAATATCTGCTGTAGAAATGTTAACCTTTTTCAAATGTTTACAGTCTGTAACTGTCCAGTGTTTTATGCGTTACTAGGTGTATATGGAATAAACGGACTAGCTCTGGACTACGCTGGACAGAACATCTACTGGACAGATTACTGGACAGAAATTATCGGCGTGGCAAGAATGGACGGACGTCATGCTCAAGCTATCGTGTCTGAAAACCTGAATTGGCCGGGTGATATCGTCTTGGATCCAACAGAAGGGTTCGTACCACAGCCTAATAAAGACTGTCAGTAGTAACTTAATTGCACAGCAATGTACAGGTATTGCATCTACTGGTACAAAACTACAATTTCCCACAAGGCAAACGTACCTGATACAAGAGTGTGTGGCTAGTATGGGATGGAAATAATCTTTTAGAACAATTGGAAGAATTTTTAAGGTCTATGCATTATTTACTATAATATGAGAAGTATATACAAATTTTCTCCTTCGCTTATCTTCATCTTAATATGCATCTTACGTATTTCAAGGATAAACCACACTTTTTGATGTACCCCTTCTTTCCTTTTCAACAGTTACATGTACTGGACGGATGAGAGCTTTTGGACACCGAGGATTGAGCGGGCAGCCATGGACGGTAGCGATAGGACAGTGATCGTCGATACCGATCTAGATAGTCCAGTCGGGATCACCATAGATCTGATTGGTACGTTTCATCATTTGTTGTTATGACGAAAATTGATTGGTATTTGTATTTGATAATCTGTTTAATCTGTTTTGCATTTAAAAATTGGTCAGTACAAAATTCATGCCTGTAATATTACCTTCAACGTAAATTCAGCCATTTTGTAAAGGCATCTGCAAACTTGGATTAAAGTGTAGATACTAGTACCTTATTTTGGGATAGAGGTACAAAAATCCATGACAAGTTTGTTAATGTAATGAAAATGTATTTTCTCCACAGAACGCCGCCTATATTGGTGTGACTCCTGGCTGTACAACATACAGAGCTCTGATCTGGATGGCAACAACCGGCAAACTCTGCTGTCCCGTTCCTACGGTCGGTTTTATGGTCTTAGCTTGAATGCCCATGAGCTATTCTGGACAAGCTCATCCGACAGTTATATAGGAGCGTAAGTACCTTTGATATGCATTTTTTAAAAGTTTTTTTTGCTATGACTAAAATCGCGTGCACCATGTTTCTTCAAAGAGCGAGCAATGTTGATAGGTTTATCAACACTGAGAAATTTATATGCTCCTACTCACGATCACGGCTACTGTCAAATTATAAAAAAAATATCAAGAAATTAACATTTTAACATTTTACTTTATGACTGTGTAACAAAGCATTTGATATGTTATATGTGTAAATATAAATCATATCTATACTCACATTGTTTCTGTTAATGATTAACACTCACTGACTCACTGACTCACTCACTCACTCACTCACTCACTCACTCACTCACTCTCTCCCATAGCTTAGTCAGTCAGTAAGGCAGCGTGATGTTTGGCAAAGAATTTCAACTGCTGACGTTCTTAACTGCTGTCTGGCCATCTGGGTGAAATGATTACTGACGAAAAAGTTTTTCTTTCCGATTCTAGGAATTCCAAATCGGAATCCGACCAGACGACGAGTCGCGTGGTGGCGGATGGTTTCTCCAGTCTGCGCGGCATCGCCATGTACAGTCCTGACACGGCGACAGATGTTTCCAATGGTAAGGGTCTTCAACACGTGATATGTGCGTACCTTGCTTTAGCCTGGGTTCCATCCTGGTTAGTTTACGTCCGCTCCCACAGTCGCTACCACCAACCGTAGCGACTGTGGGAGCGGACGTAAACTAACCAGGATGGAACCCAGGCTAACTTTGCTTGGCAAGAAAGAGATAAAACATAAAAGAAAGAACGAAAACCTATCCAGAATTTAATTTGGAATGATAGAATATGGTATGCCTGAGCTGAATTAATTTAGGAGTGCAGACACATGCAAGTGTGTTTATCTGTACAGTTGTGTCTAACCTTGATCAAATCCGTTTTTAAAATTTGATATGCGAAGGTATTCTTGTTATAATGTGAGAATTAAACAAGTCACTTGTACCCTACCCGTAGCCTGTTCAGTGTCGAACGGTGGCTGTCAGGACATCTGTCTGGCCCGTCCTGGAGGGAGAACCTGTGCCTGCAGAGCTTACTTCCATCTTCAGAGTGACAACGCTACCTGTGCTCCTCCCGGTGAGTATGAGCATCGACGGTCATACAGTCTTTCATGATCTAATCACATGTAAATTATATCCATGCAAATAAGATACAAAGTACAATGCTACCATTTACAAAGCAAATGCATGATGTTTACTTTCACCTGGTCTGGCTTTAGTCTAGCCTGACAAACTACTGGTCTGTTTATTCTTACTCAAACGCCTTCATACATGATAAATGGAGACCAGCTATTCATGATCAACTCTGCCCTGCTACAAAATATAACCAACACCACAGGGTGTCTGCTACAGCACCAGTTACCATGGTGACAGTCGTCTGATCTGACCAGGTCATTGACTTTAATTGTTTTGAACGTAAGAAGAGGAAGATGCATGTCACTACGAACTGTTCATCCATCCCACAGAGTTGACCATTGATTATCCTTCTCTTTTTATATGTAGAGATAAAGTCCCCAAGCTTTCTTTGGATAAACGAGGTGGACGATAAAACGTTACTCACTGCGCTGGAAGCAAACAGCAGTATCGTCAGATCTCCAGATTTCCAGTCTCTGCCTCTCACCACTGTCATGTCGGCCAGGCCACCTTCCGTCATTGTCTCCCTCGACTACGACATTCGTCAAGGCCTCATCTTCTGGATTGACATTGGAATGAAGGAGATACAGCAGGTACATGATTATTATCGAAACGTGCATGGTCTAAGGTAGTGATAATCTTTTTTAATTTGATGTAAACATTTCGAGTAGTTTTGGTAGTGTGTAGTGTTTGTAGTAATCATAGTAAAATGCGCGATGAAGGCGACAATGGTCTCTGTGTAACCCTTGTGTTGGAATAAAGTTCAACATTTTACTTTGATTTTTGACGGCCTGCAGATTTCGTCGACAATTTGTAGCCTGTGTGCAATGGCCACGTCTTCGTGCTTAATTTAATCTAGAACAGTGCCTGGGAAAATCGAGTAGTGCGTTCTTGGTTACGCGGAGACTATTCATCCCTATAACCCATGCAGTCATACAACTAGGTAGGCATGGAAACAATAATATGCATAGGCTCAAGGTGAATTTATAATGTCCCATGTCTCACCGTTAGTTCATTGCATACACTCTTAGGTTGATGTTAGGACAGGAATGGTAACAACATTGCTGACCGCAATCTCGGCTGGAGCAGAAGCTCTCGCCACGGATTGGATCAACCAAAATCTGTACTACACAGACTTCAACTACAACAGGATCACAATGGTATCATATGACCTGGGTAGCAGTACTGGCAACAGCCACATCATCGCTGAAACTGGTCTGGACAAACCGAGAGGCATCGCCGTGGACCCATCATCAGGGTACGTTTTACGAAAACGTTTTTACAGAGTGTGATTCAAGGATTTAGTATATGTATCCCCAGGACATATCGACATATTCCCATCCTATAGTTACTTCGTCACGATGATATTTAAAGCAACTAGCAGTAATTTTACTTGCAGCATCTAGTTGGCTTTCTGTCAATGAAAGTAGTATTCATTGATGCAATATAGCTTAAATCTGATGAGTTGGTTCTAATCGCTTTCGAATACCTTAACTCGTAGGTTCGTGTTTTGGAGTGACTGGGGACAGTCGCCCAAAATTGAGAGATCCACGTTGTCGGGAGAAGATCGCATGGTGATCGTGGACTCTGATCTTGGAAGACCAAGCGGTCTGGTGATTGACTACGCCACCAACAGGTTAGTCTAACGTTGGTATAGAAGAATGGCACTATGGCTAGATATAAGTCCTAGTACGCTCTTATGTAGTAGTATTATTCTTACAGCGAAATACTTTTCTACTCTTTGGCTATAACATTTTGTTGTTATGTACTTGATTTGATCAGCACTTATCATTATTTTAGAATATTTATTTGCAGGTACAAGTGATGTAATTTGATTTGGTCCAGTGATACCATTGAATATAATTATATACCATCCTTAACAAAATGCATGCATCCCTTTAATGTTAAAACCAACTTTGTGTTGTTAATTTCTAAGGTTGTATTTTGCGGACACCGGGCGTGACACCATAGACTCGTGTGACTTCGACGGCGGCAATCGGCAACAGTTTTGCTCTCTACCGGGGACACATTTCTACGACATCACATTTGACGGTGTAAGTAAAGCTAGCTCAATGCCGAGGACTTATGCTACCCCTTATTGTTCCATACATGCTTTTATTATCCCTTGTTATTCTGTATGGTTCCATACATGCTTTTATTATCCCTTATTATCTCTCATTGTTCCATACATGTTTATTCCTTTGACTTGGAGCAATGTTTCTCATGTTTCTAAATGTAGGTTGATATCTTTGAGGAATAAACTTCCTGTAGGCAGGAAGACAGTGAATTTCAGCATTGTCTAGCTCTGATTAAAGAAAGAAAGAATGAGAAAACATTCACTCCAAAAGTTTTTTTTTCAAGTAGGTTGGATAAGCTCGTGCCAGTAACGTCCTTGATTCATGCTTCAATGATTTAACAAATATGTACTTGTGCATTTCTCTCATTCAGGAGGAGATCGTGGCGTCTGACTGGTCAGACACCACCATTAACTTCATCCACGACTCACGACCCCTCACGTTCATCAGACCCAGAGGCCAAAACATCATGACAGTAGAGTTCTTTCACGAGAGCAGGCAACCTCAAAGTCAATGTAGGTTTCCTGACAATTGTGGTGAACATGAACAGTCGGAATAAAATTGACGTTCTGTAGATTTAGATTGCATTTGTCCTGAAACGTGCTTTTTCCAGGCCAGGACCATGGTCAGGTACCATTCTGGATAGTCCATGCGTATCCAAAATCGTGCCTGGGGCAAGTCTGCGTTTTTGGATATGCTGACACTATCCAGAACCATGCCTGAGCCTAACCTTAATCCACTCAGGGACATAACTACATATGAATTGTGCTGGATAAGATAGTGTCTAAGTTTATATTCACATTTGGTAATAGTGTCATTTTGCTATATATCCTGTAGTAATGTGATCCAAGGGCTATTTCGATATTAGGAAGATCCAACAATGTGTTACTAAGAGTCTCTTTTGCTTTTTTTGCAACAAGCCGACTGTCAGGTGAACAATGGTGGCTGTCAGCACACCTGTGTTGGGGATCAAAGTGGACACAAGTGTCTCTGTCTAACTGACTACAGCCTTGCGCAGGATCAACAAACATGTGTGAAAAGTAAGTCCTGAATGCTACATTTTACTGCTTATGCTAACAGAAAATTGATAAGGAAATACCCCCTGTGATATTCTGCCTTCTCCCTGAGATGTATTGTAAAAGTAGACCTTTGTTACAAAAAAGCTTGAGTTACTAACATAAGTGACTTTTTTAATGTTTAGTATCATAAAAACCACTAGCAATCGTGATAAGACATCTAACACAGCATCGCCCCAAACAAATCCATTCACTTGTGTTTACTAACAAACATGAGCCCCAAAACAGCTTATGAATCAGTAATAACTCTCCCCAGATGACCACCTGTTCACCAAGGCTCTGCTTGTGTCCACGGATGAGGGCATACTGCAGTTCCCGCACAACCTAGCGGATCTGCCTGGAACTGCAGACTCCAAACCGACTGTCTTGGTGAGGGGAGGGAAGACTGTTGCAATGGATTTCAATTACAACGGTGGGTGTTTATTGCGTGGAGAGTTTTGCAAGCAAACGTAATATTTGACAAAGGACTGTATGCCATTGTGGATGAGTAGGATAGATGTGGCCCTAAATCTTCCTGTTGACTCCGGCCCAGCTGATCTTGCTGCTGACTCTGAGCCAGCTAATCTTCATGCTGACTCTGAGCCAGCTAATCTTCCTGCTGACTCTGAGCCAGCTAATGTTCCTGCTGACTCTGAGCCAGCTCCGTCCTACTGACTCCGAGCCAGCTAATCTTCTTGCTGACTCTGAGCCAGCTAATCTTCCTGCTGACTCCGAGCCAGCTAATGTTCCTGCTGACTCTGAGCCAGCTAATCTTTCTGCTGACTCTGAGCCAGCTAATGTTCCTGCTGACTCCGAGCCAGCTAATCTTCCTGCTGACTCCAAGCCAGCTAATCGTCCTGCTGACTCTGAGCCAGCTAATGTTCCTGCTGACCCTGAGCCAGCTAATCTTCCTGCTGACTCTGAGCCAGCTAATCTTCCTGCTGACTCCGAGCCAGCTAATCGTCCTGCTGACTCCAAGACAGCTAATCTTCCTGCTGTCTCTGAGCCAGCTAATATGCCTGCTAACTCCGAGTCAGCTAATCGTCCCGCTGACTCTGAGCCAGCTAATCATCGTGCTGACTCTGAGCCAGCTAATTATAATTATTATTATAATCTTCCTCCTGACTCTGAGCCAGCTAATCTTCCTGCTATTATGTCATGTTATATATGAGGTTTGTCGTTAATCATCATACATTTTAGTTCTTACACTCACAACATATTTCTTACGTCTTATCAGAGAAAGCAATCTACTACACGAAAGAGATGGACGATGGGACGCAGAGTATCCAGAAATACGACTTGACAACGAATTCCTCTTTGACGATTTATACAGGAGGGCAAGGAATAGAAGGTTAGACCACTTTCCCCCAATCACTACGCTGAGTATCGTTTTTTACTGTTCCTTTGTACAAATTGTTAACTGAAAATGGTGGCAGTTTCATAGTTTCAGCAGTTTCAATTTGTAAACGTTGTGTTTACAGGACTAGCGGTTGACTGGGTTGCCGCCAACATCTACTGGACGGAGAGAAATGATGGAACCATCAGTGTCGCACGGTTAGATGGGAGTTTTAGAAAGGTTCTTCTGTCGGGCCTTGTTCAACCACGTGGAGTCGCTGTACATCCGGAACAAAGGTAAGAAATACAGAATTTTGTTTGTAGGACAACCAGCATAGATGCAACGTATTATGTGATAGTGTCATCGTTCGTTTTGCTGGAAAATTATCTTATTAAGTTTTTTACATGTCTACTTGCACTTGTACTGACCTCGTACATTTCTTTCCCTCGAGTATTTCTTTTAAATTTTACCAAAATAGCTTAACTCATGCCTATCACACTTCTAGGTTGTTGTATTGGACGGAAACCGGCAGTATCTTCCGTTCTACATTAGCAGGAACCGACAAAGAAGTCATCGTGTCGTCACAATCCGATGAGTCTGTCCAGAACCCAGCTGGCATATCATTCGACCTTCTCAACAGTTGGTACGTTTACTTGAGTCATACTTAGTCTAGAAACAGACTCATTTGATACCTCTTCTGTGTTCTTTTGTTTCATTGATAAGGGTAAACTTATTGGATGGGATTATCTTACTTTCTTTTTTTACTGCCCTTAATGCCAGTCCCGGCATGTAAGGCAGCAACAAAGGTTTTTCAGTTCCCTCTGCCCTGGGCTGTTCTCTAGATGCTATTCCAAGTGTGATTGAAGCTCTTCAGCAGCTCTTTTGCAACTGTTATTGGCCAAGTGATCTTAGACTGTCCTTTTTTCTCCTTCCTCCAGGTGTCCAATGTAGTGCTGTTCCTGTTAAGTCATCTGGGTCTTTTCTCAGCACATGTTCTATGACTGACATGTTTAACAATTCTTGGTTTTGGCAGGGTATACTGGGCTGATAGTGATGCCGGGACAGTCATGGCTTCCGACCTTCGTGGCGAAGATCCCGAACTGCGCTGGACAAGCAACGGCGGAGAACTCTTCGGAATAGCCGTCTATAAGGTACAAAATGTACTAGGCCTGGCAGGACATACTAAGGAAAATCAATTTAAGGGACAAATGGTCCAAAAAGAAAACTGGCACGAAACATGTGAAGACTGGCCTGCCAATCTGAACCTGACACTTTTGTTCGATCAGGTATAACAAAAAGATAAACTGTCGCAGTTAACGATTAATTTATAATTTAAGTACATCCTAAGTTGTATTGAGAGGATGGGTTAAGAACAGAAGAACTGATACATGTCCATACAATTTGCTACTGATAACGTTAATTTTCATTTTATCATTTTCATAAAGGATTTTAATTTCTGGACGGACCGCACAAACAAGACCGTCAGTATCGGGTTGAGAAGCTCGCTAGAAAAGGTGGTCCAGCTACAGACAACTCCTCACAGTGTCCGTGTGTTCGACGGCAGTGAACAGCCACTCTCTAGAGGTATTGTATACTAGTATGCAAAGTGCGTGAAAAACAACATAGAAAGCTAACCATTTGCTGGTTAACGTTATTGATTGAATGGTTATCTAATCATTGCCAAGTGTTCGTTTTCTACTTTAGCTTTATTTATTGTAAGTAGAACAATGTACGTAGAAATGTGTGTATGAGCTTTCATCACATTTTAGAAATTTCTTAGACCTTTGACATTAGAGATATTTGGACATTTAAACAAGAGAGTGTCATTTGATGGCAATTGTTGCCATTGATCATTGTATAGCAATGCAACAATCGTCCATAGTACATCGGATAAGGTTACCCAAGGTCTCAACAACACAGAGTGGTAAAAAAAAGTAACGTTTTTTTTCGCTCAGGTCCATGCGACTTGCGGAATGGTGACTGTAATGAGTTGTGTCTACCGACAACAGCTGACGATAAAGTCTGCGCCTGCACAGAAGGGCATCTGATGCAAGCAGACAACCTGACATGTTACAACCCTGCAGCAACTGTAGCAGGTACGGAAGTTTTGGGTGGCGCCAGTTTATGCTACGTTTGTATGTTTGGGTTCTGAAATGAGTTGGCGAAGATTATTTTTAACTTATTTACCGTCAGGGTTCTGACCCGGTAGACTTCGACTCAATGATGTGGTTCGCCATGTATGTATGTATGGGTTAATAGTGCAGTCTATTATTTAATTCATAAACAAAAAACTATATCAAAGTATTTGTAGAAAACAGTTTCTTTGATTTTTTAAGTGACAACTCCTGCCGTGCAGACGACACCGGTTACACCATCTAAACCAGGTATATCCATAGTTATGTTTTAAAAACTTCTTTTTTAAAAGTGGCCAATTATGCTGGCTGCTTTCTCGCGTACGTGTTCATAATTAGTAGGGAATGTTGAATGTATTTGTGGAAAATCTGATCGATTTTCTCTTGATTTTTCAACAGCGACAACTACTACTAGGCAGACGACACCGGTTACACCATCTAAACCAGGTATGTACCTAGTTAAACGTCACAATCTTTCTTTTTTGACATGATCAATTATCCTAGCTACTTTGCGTTCATGTTTAGTAGAACATTTCGAAAGTGTTTGTGGAGCACATTATCGAATTGCTTTGATTTTTCAACAGTGACAACTCCTGTTGTGCAGACGACACCACCTATTCCACCAGGTATGTCCCTAGTTACAAGCTTATTTTCAAATGTCATCAACCATGCTGACTGCATTCTTACGTATTGTAGGAGAATGAATTATTTTTTATTGATATGCTTTTCTACTTCAACAGTAATAACTACTGCTATGCAGACGACAACAACTCGTACAACGTTCAAACCAGGTATGTATGCGCGGTGTTGTGTTCTTATCGACTCAAGAACGATTTTAAGTATCACGATATAATGGCAGTGGAAAGAATAATCCAATGACCATAATTTTATTCAGTGTTCGACTTATATGCATGACAGTGTAAGATTTACGTAACAATCTCAATACCATGTTGATTTATTCATTGTACATAGGGAATCGTACATGTCATTGATTTCTTCATGTAAATTGTAATGTTCCCAGCAATCGCCTGCACTCCTGAAACCCTCCCATCTGTCACTGATGGTGACTTCGGGCAATGCGTGGTCACAGCTAACGTCAAGACGTGTAACGTCGTCTGTAAGCCATCTTACGGACCGTCAGTCAGCAGGATCAAGTGCCTCCCAAGTGGCAACTGGGACATGGGCAAGGATTACACCTGCACAAGTGAGATTTAAAAAAAATGAATTTGTTGTAACAGTTGTATTCTTGGACATCCAACGTGTATTGAAAATAGATAACTATAAATTTAGAGATGTGAAATTTGCATGCTATTTGCAGTATCTGTCTGTTGAACTGAGGCGTATCTATTTTCATTTCCTCTTGGGCGGAAGTACTGTTTTGGGTGGCGCTAATTTTTGCTATGTTTGGGTTCCAAAATGAGAATAGGGGGGCAGGCTTTCATGGTTGACATTCTTCACCCGATATGCCCAAGATTTAGGGATGTGGTCAACAAGAATGTATGAAACATAAACCATTAAAAATTCATATCAGTAGTGGTGGATTCTGTAATGTAAATCATTAACTCAACTTTATCTACTTCCCGGAAGTTCCAAATCCCTGATTTCTTGTTCCATCTGCAGGACTAGCAACACCAGAAACAGTTTCCGTCAACGTGTCCTTCAGTTTTTCAACAGTCCCTTGTACCACATCGACCATGAATTCTCTCAGAGCAAGCCTGATCGACAACTTTCAAAGCAACGGCATCTGCCAAACGGCGGTACAGAATAACATTAGGCTGTGCGAGGACCCTAACCAGATGACAGTGTCATGCTCTTTTAGCAGCGGACGAAAGCGAAGAGCATCAGATACTGAGAGTAAAACGAACGTCCAGGCATCATTGCAAGAAGAGAATCATCCTCTAAAGAAGCGGGAAATCATGTCGTACCTCTCGCACAAAAAGGCACTGAAGAAACAAGCTAAAGAAGAGATGGCAATGCTCAAAGAAGCCAACAGAGAGAAAAGAAACGCAGAAGTTCTGCATGTGAAGAAGCAAGTCAACAATGACGAAGACGCCTTACTACAACTGGTCAAGAAAGCTGGTGGCAGGATCATGGTCAACAGGGTCAAAAGACAGACCACATACGGTGTAGACGTGGACATCGCAGTCAAGGCCATTCCAGACACGTCAGACGGAAGCCTGGAGGACAGCATCAGCAAGACTCAGCAAAACTTACAGAACGTTGTGGATGATATCGAAACGGAGGTGGCGGCTGGGAACGTGGCTGTGGAAGTGGACGGGCAAACCTACCGGGCAGATCCGGACTCGTTCACGGCGATGGCTGTGAAGTACCAATGTCCGAGTGGGACCGTGGAGATAGACGGGGGCTGTGGTGAGTTTTCTGACTCTATGATCTAAAATCATCTATTTGTTTAGGAAAGTGTTACTCAAGAAACTGAATGGACCGGGATTTGGAAAACTTTCAGACATTTCAAGTCAGTCAATCACTGGCGAAAAGCAGTGTATGCTACTTGAGACGTCTAACAGTTTTCAAAGCCTCTTCAATTGCTTGAATAACACGTTCCTTTTGTATCTCATCACCTGGCCATGGATATCTAACCTTCATCGACGCATCTATTTTTTTTTTACTCTTTCAAATATTTTGAGTGAAATATAATTGTTATTCTAAACTGATGGAAAAGAATGTATGAATAGCTTAAGTCCACATCGAAGAAAAAATATCCTCTTACTTCTTGGTTGTCCATCGCTGTCGATGAACACTTCATCATCATTGTCGATGAAGAATTCTATGATTACTTTAATGCAATAACATTTTACTTAAATCATTCAACAGGGCAAGCACCAAGTACAGGTGGGTCGAACGGCGCAGCGGTGGCGGTTGGCGTCGTCGTCACCTTGCTGCTGTTGGGCGCGATGTCGCTAGGGGGCTACATGTACTGCCGCCAGCAGCGCCGCAAGTTCGGGCCGGGACGGGACGTCCGACTGAGCGACTTGACAGCCCGGGACAATCCGGTGTACGACGCGTCTGACATCCCTCCAGCTTACACAGGTACACAGTGATTTTATTGGTTGAAATTACAACAGTACAATACACGTGGGACACAGACAGATGTTGCTGGTGTTGTGTACCATACATAGAATATCACAAACACATGCAAAAGTATAATTATATTTAGTATCATCATCATCGGTCGACCGTATTGGTCGGGGTTATACCGCCCCTTACGAGGTGACATACCCTTTCGTTAGCTTAATACAAGACGGGGTTCGCCACGCCTCCGTCCAAATTTAGTATATCTACTAGTAGATATATTTAGTATATCTACTAGTAAAGGACAGCAATAAGAACAATGGAATACATTTTAAGTACTGGTATCATACTATCAGTCCACTAGTTATATAGCTACTAGTACTTCCTATCCATACGAGTTCTAGCTGATCACCATTCATGTATATTTGTACACATCAATCATCGTACCTTAAATTTTCTTTTCTTCTAGTAGTGCATGATTACACGAAGTATTATACCATGCCGGTACTTTAATAATCTTAGCAGCTGATCGTTTCATCTGCGCATAAAAACAACTCGAAATTCATTATGTATTGTGTCTAAAATGTGCTCCATCTTTCCTGCAGCATACATGGGTGAAGGTCTGAACGCTACGGGCGGTTCTCCGACCAAAGACGTCCCAGGGGGCGCCATGGAAGCCGGGGCCTTACCGGAGAAGGCCCCTCCCGCTCAATGGGTAACATTTGACGACGCCGGCAACGCGTTTCAACCGGCTGCAGAACCAAACGTGTACCAGAACATGCCTCCCAGCGCACCCCAGAACACGTTTCAATCAACTGCGGCTGCAGAAGAACAGCATGTGTACGAGCACATCCCTCCAAGCGCACCTCCTGTCGAGTACAACATGTTTGTCAATAATCCCACCAAGGGCATCGGGGGTGAGACAAATGCATGAAAATGTTTTCCGAGATTGGCAGGTGTTTCTGATGATTAGTTTTTTATGTGAATAACTTTTATCGTAGGACGTCGTAAGATTTTGATATGTCGTAGCGTTTTTAATAGAGCAGGCTGTGACAGAACTAACCGCTGACAGATGTACGAGAATCCCAAGAATCCATTTTAGTTAGTTGAAATTTACTGCAAGCTATACTACATTAATAATCGGACAAACATGGTATATAGAGTGATATAGTTAATTTTAGATGTCAATGAAATGATACACGTAAATGAGGTTGTCTAATGTTGTTTCTGTTTACATTGTAAAGTACATATCATAAAAAAGAACTCTTGAGATGTTATTTTACGAAAAATGAGCTCGCTCATTGAAATACTAGTAGCTTGTTCTATATTAAGAGTACGGATGTATATATGGTTAATTTTTCACCTTTTATAGTTTTCTGAATTGTTTCTTGAACTAAGATTTATTGTTACCCAAGAAAAGTAACCAAACGTAAATGATGTTAGAATATAGGTTCAGAGGTTTAAACTTAAAATATCTTCTGCTTGTAAATAATAAGTGCCAAAGTGTCAGGGCAGTTCAAAATAATTGTTTAGTGCAAGTATTGCTCTCTAACTGGCTGGTATTGAAAAGTGGTGTTTTAACTTTAATCTGTTAAAAAATTGATTAAAGTTGAAGTTTTATGACAAAGAACTAGCTATTTTAATGTTTGTCCAAAATAGTCAAGATCAACTTTGCAGTTTTGTGATTCTTTGTAAATATAGTGAGGGGCTAACAACTAGTTGTGTGTTTAGAAGTAGTGGGGGGCTAACCACTAGTCGTTGTAATGTAGGCTATGGACAAGCATGAAACATATCATTTTTGTCTCTAAGAAAGATAAAAAGATGCAAATAAAATACATTTGAAAAATGATCAAGAGAACGTCTACTGTTTACTTGTTGCTCACTCCACACAGGTGTAAATTGAGAACCTGACTTCGGTTGGGGAGGTAAAAGGCAGTGGAAGGAGGGGGATGGGGTCTGCCTATAATACCGTGCCCTAGACACAATTGATTAACAACCCACTGCGGGTAGGGCTTGAAAGGGGTTATGAGACTACATTTGCCTTTACTAACTTTCTACAAGGACGTTCTATCAGATGTTGAACCTCCTTGCTTTATTTGTATCCGTTTTCTAACGAGTTTGCTCAGTGCAAGGCCACACGGACCACTCCTGGACACTGAACTAACGCTCACTGCAGCAGCGTCTCTTCTCACTAAGTCAAAAACACCGAGCTTAGATAATCAAACTTGGCTAACTGACTCCATTATAGGTGTTGCGCAATAAGCTGATTGGCAGATTCCACTGCGATTGCTATCTGTGTTGGGGTTACACAGTGGCAAACAGAGTTGTTCAACTAGTCCTCCTCGGGGACACTTACGGATGACTGGTTTTCTACCTGTCAGACGACAATTGTTTTGCACGGACTCAGGAGTTCTGATTGATCTCCTGAATCACGCAAGTCGTGTGTAAGAAAGGGGGTGTACTTACGTATTTACTAGACAGAACCTGGTTGAAAAGATGTATTTAGCATAGCAAGAAACGCATCTGATAACGGTGGGAGACGAGCAAAGCAAGAAATCGTATTTACCTTAGATCACCAACTCTTTAAATCTGCCATTGTTGAAATGTCTTTTTGTGTCCCCTATCAGGAAGCAACAATAGCATAATCTAAATGGTATAGCCAAAGGCAACCGTGCAAGGTTTATACTATCTGCAGGTATCGTACAACACACAGTCTCTTCACAGTAGGCGCTGACCAGTATGAGATAAGCTATGGACTTCACTGTTGGAGGGATTTTTCTGCTGCTTGTTTTGTGTCCAGGTGAGTAAGATTTTTCACAACTGTTTGTCACTGTAAAGTTGTATTGTGGCATGTGTGTGTGCAGTAACAGTGGGGAGGGGGCCTTCACGTATGGTAGAAGTACGTACACAACTCGGTGGCTAAGCTATTTCCAGTTCATTAATTCATAATCAGTTAGAAAACAGTGTTTCCTACATGTTTTCTCCTGAACAAATCAGGCTAAAATGATCTTAACTTCGGAATCAAGTACACACGCCGGTGTGACAGGTAGACCCAAGGTTGTCCGTAAATAGTGTACCGAACAATGGGAGTGTTTTTAACTTACAAAGGTTTAATGTTGTCCAGGTAAGTGTGTAGTAACCCGCCTTATGCTGTAAGATACTCAACATATTACCTCTTTCCAGAGCAAAATATTTCCACAGTGTTATCCTCCCAGAGTAGCTAGGAAAACCAAGGCTATTTGCCTGTTTTTTTAAATGTTCAAGGCAATAGTTTTACGTTGTTTTAGTGTGATAGGCGCTTTGTGCATCCATGTTAGGCATCGTTTTGTGGTAGGCATTAAAAAGAAGGTATTTTCGTATCCTTGAAGTCTGTCAGCCTGAGTTGTCACCAAAACTAGTAAGAAGATAATTCAAGGACCATGTCGTTTGCAAGCCTTGACCCCACACACAGATAATTAAGAGCCAGGAAGCGCTACCGACCATTTGTTTGTCGTTATCTATACATTTTGCTACCAGATGCAACCGCACGGTTTGGGAAATGGTCAAAGTGTCAGTATGCTGCCATGTTTTGCCTTGGTGGACTGGATAGGTATTCTGGGTTGGCCATGGCATAATTGGTTATGACGAACACGTAATACTATTCATCCAGGTGTTTGTCTCTTGGTACAATGTACTGGGCTATCCTTATTTAACTTGACGTATGCATTATCCAACCATATTTGTCAGGGTTCCGTGAGAAAAGAAAATCTATACATGCGGGTTTGATGAAATATGTACTGTAAATGCAGGTATTTTTGCGGTGGTTTTATTTTCGCTGTTTCACGGTGACTTCGCGTTATAGTGAAATCATGACAAGACGAATTATGTGTTTTGTAATTCTACTATACCTCAGAATCGGTTCAACTTTAAACACGTACCGCGAAAACGTAACCTTAACGGCGAACTAAAACCACCGCGAAATAAAATGTATTTACGTTACCTTACCTGGGCTCTATATACATGTTGTTAACTGCCAGCGTTTAATAATATATGCAACTGGCTGAATAGCTTACTTTCTAGGTGAAAAGGAATGTGAGTTTTAGGGCAAGGAATACAATCTGGACAAAACCGGACAAAATCAGTACACACATGTGAATATGGGTTTCAACGTTTTATGACGATAGTGATCGTACATGGATGGTTTAATTCTAACTAAAACCGCCTTTCCACTATATCACGATCTCTGAGCGACCGTACAGCGAACAAAATTTGTGTCACCCTTGATTTCATACTTGGAATATGGTACAGGATACAGCAGTATGGTGCAAAAGACAACAGTGTTCGAACACACAAAAAAGTAAAATGAATTGTTCTTAAATTATATTCATCTGTGAAATTCTGCCTGCCATTTGGTCGCTCAGAAGTCACTCAGCAGTCGCACAGCGGTCGCAGACTACTGAAAAGGAGGTGTAAAGGTGAGAGGCAAGCGAAATCTGACCGGGCGTCTTTAGCATGCCCAATAACTTATACCCAAACACGTCCCGTTTTTGTTGACCGATTTTTGTTACTGATCCATGGGATGCTCAAAGTATTGTGTTAAGGTAAACTAGTTCTAAAGGTTAGACTGCACTGCAGAGACAAGTTTTCCCATTGTCTTTACGCGCCACTGCGCTGGCAACAACTCGAATAGTTTTCCACTTCGCTGCTTCGTCAACAACAGGTTCTACCCGGCGACATCGCCTATTCAGGGGAAGACTATATATACATATTAGTCATCTTTAAAACTTTTGGGATGTATTAAATGCAATTATAGTTCTGCACTATGCATTGACATGCAATTTTAGTCATTGAAATACAATTTGGAGGACAGGTAAAATTTATCCTTGGAATATGATGCAGGATAGGTAAAATTTTAGACTTAAGGTGCACAAAAGGGCATATGCAACCCTGACTTTCAAAGACAATCTTGACGCAACTGTCTGTCTATCATTCTCGGACTAGAAAGTCCAACGGTAAAATGTTAAAAACGGGTTTAAAGTTGCCCGTTCCATTTCATATGATATCAAAAACGCTACATACATTTTACAGAAACAAAGGATTTTTTATGTTGTTTGTTGTTTGTGCACTGGTTCTGTCAGTTGTGCAGTACTGCGCACCAGTCTTAGCCAACATGTCAGACTCCAACATGCGCAAACTGCAAGTAGTGCAGAATAGGGCATGTAGACTGTTACTGAAATGTACTCCTGATACTTCTACCAGGCAGATGCATCTAGATCTTGGTTGGCCGACTGTGAGAGAGAGATTCTTGAAAAGCACTTTGGTCATGTTCTTTAAGATCCTCACGAGTCACGAACCACAAAATATTTACAACTCCCTTTTGCCTGTTCATGCATCTCACAGTCATAGTACCAGATCTTCCGCACATAACTTTAGATTACCAATACCTAAGTCCAATAGCAGAAAACGCTCATTCCTGTATCGTGCAGTCGTGCTCTGGAACGATCTACCATCTGACGTTAAGACACTGTGCGATGTTATCAGTTTTAAGAAAGCCGTTTCAAACAGTAATAGTGTCACCTGATCCTTGACCATTGCTCGCTACTTTTAAATTGTTAATATCTATGTGTATTTATTGTTGATGTGGTGTAAATGTATGTATGTAACTTATGTATTTTTAAATGTTTCTACTATGTTGTAATTATGTTATTTTAATTGTTTGAGCCTTGGAAGATTAGCCCTTCGGGGCTAAAAGGTTTCGAAATAGATGAAATGTCAAGTTTTTAATATTTTTTCTGACATCCAGGAGGTTATGGTTCCTCCAGCGATGGGCCGTTTCTGCTAGTTGCTGACAATTACCTTGACAGCATCCTTCAAATCGACGTCACTTCCGGTTCGAACGTCACGCTTCCGCTCGGGGACCCAAGATGGCCGCTGTCCTTGGACTACGACCCGAACACCGACTACGTGTACTGGTCAGACCGGCTGGACAGACACATCAAACGGGCACGTCGAGACGGAAGTGGGATGGAGACAATTGTTACAACCGGCCTCATCAGTAAGTGGTAGTTACTAGCATGATTTTACGTTCAATAAACCACCTTGCTGGACTAACTTGCACATGTGCAGTGTGATGCATTGTGGTCCAAGGTCAAAGTTCAAGGCCTCTAGCTCCCAAATAGTACTGATAGAAAATCAAAATTCTACTACTGGATAAAATTACGGATACAAATAGTAGTGTACCTGTTACAGTACTTTGCCTAGATGTGCTAGCCAAGTGGATATTGTTTTTGTAACAGAAGCCTTAATCATGACCTTACCCACAATCCCCTACGTATACACTTCCAAACAGCAAGCAGGTTCAAACCTTGGTAACAGTTTGAGGTATCTTCACATCTCTATATACAGTATTTTGGTAACAGTCTGAGGTATCTTCACATCTCTATTTACAATATTTTGAAAACAGCCTGTGTACCTTCACATCTCTATATACAGTATTTTGGTAACAGTCCGAGATATCTTCACATCTGTAGGTACCTATGGCCTGGCCATCGACCATGCCGCGGGCAATCTGTACTGGACCGACTCTCGAGCCAAGACCGTCTCAGTAGCCCGGATGGACGGGTCGTTCGCCAGGCCGCTTCTGACGTCACCGGCGGTCGGGAGTCCAGGAGGTCTGGTCTTAGACCCGAGAAACGGGTACGGGTAATCACTTGAAGTTTTCATGCTTCCATGAACGTTTATCTGTGTTTGAAGAAATTTCGTTCCAACACTAGAGAACAATTAGCATTAGCACTATTCTTTTGGACAGAAAATTTGGATAGAAAAAGTTTAATCACTTTTTAAAACAACATTGTATCATCTTTATGTTGCCTCGGATATAAAATTATGTCAGTCGAGATCCTTTCCATTCACTCAGGTACATGTAAATGGCAAACGGGTAATCGGTTTAGGTTTTCTTAAGCGTCACTGCATCGGGTTTAATCTTTCTTTTGTCTCGGATAAAAAAACATATTACTATTTGTTCATTCACACAGATACATGTACTGGACGGACTGGGGTAGTAGTGACCCTAGAATAGACCGTGCTGCGATGGACGGCAGTAACCAGACAACCATTCTCAGCGATCTGACGGATCCAAATATGATCACTATAGACTACACAGGTGAGGAGACATATATTAATTTGCTGAGCAACAAATCATGTTCAAGACATTTGAAAATGGTGCTGTTGCCATCATTCGACTGTACATTGTAAATTGTGCAAAGAATTCAGGTCTCTACTTTCTTTCTTTGTATTGTATTGTGTTGCTTTGTATTGTCTTGTATTCGGCATACTTAGATCAAATCATTGCTACTCTCTTGGCTGAAAAAGGGTGGAATGACTTTATCTTAGACATTCTTAGACATTCTGAACACACACACACACACACACACACACACACACACACACACATACGCACGCAAACACACGCGTACTCACACACACACACACGCACGCAAACACACGCGTACACACACACGTACACAAACATATACATACACGTTTCGTTTGATCCAGTTACAGTTAACAAGTACCTACAAGTAAAAGTTAAAGACTTATTGATGATCGTCCTAAAAATCATTTTTATCCAGAAAACCGTCTGTACTACTGTGACGGAGGTGCCCACAGCATCTTCAGCGCTGACCTGCTCGGTAACGACGTCCGGCGGCACCTGTACCTACCTTCTGATTATCTCTTTGGCATCGCCATCGACAGTAACAACATCTACTGGACATCATGGACAACTAGCCACATTGGCATGTAAGAACATCTTTTGTTCGTTCATGTAATCAATGGAGACTATGTAATGAGAATTAACTGTTCTCCAACTTTAAGAAATTGACTCACTGTAACTTTCGGAGAACAGTTTAATTCATATTATGTATTTTACCAACTCAGATGATCTTTCATTCGAGACTGAATATGGATGCATTAAAATATGCTAAATGCGAAAAATCCATTGAGACATATCTTGTATCAAACGATATACAAGATTTCTGTTCCCTACTTACAGGTTGTCCAGGTCTACCAATCGTCAGTCCGTCCTTGTCGACAGCCTTGCGAACCCAAATGACATCTACGTGTCCATGGCAACGCCTACTGACGTCACTAACGGTAATGATATACGCATGACGCGTCACTTTAAATATCTCAATTCTCTGTACTAAGAAGCTTATTGTAGCCAAGAATGTAAAAAATATTTCAGCAATGAAATTTCGGTGGAATTGGCTGTCATAATCTGGTATGACTTTTATTTTGTGTTAAAAAGTTTGTCCTTTTTTTCAGCTTGCTCCACGTCGAATGGAGGTTGTCAGGATCTGTGCCTGGCCAAACCAGAGGGAAGAACATGCGCCTGCCGGTTTCCCTGGGAACTGCAGGAAGACGGAACATCATGCCTTCCAAAAAGTATATATAGCACAGTTATTATATACAGATTCTTATTATGTGAAGCATAGCAGCATTTGTATGTCTTTCTTCCGTTTCGGAAAACGTAGAACGAAGAGCGCAGTTACATTCGTCCTAGGCCGTCGTGCGATTTGATATAGTTAAATTTGACAGAACCGACCATAGACTAGGAATCTAAGACAGCATTTTCCGCACAAGACAGCTGTATTTTGTACTACACACGCACGGCCGTTCCCCAAAAATGCCATCAGCTTGAGATCGTACGACAATAGTAAGACGAAGTCCATATTTGTAATCCGCTTGCCAGAATAACTTATCAATCTCTTTCACCTACGCACAACCAACGACCTCGATACTATTCTAGCAGTGAACTGGAACAAAATGCAATGTAGCTAATATCCTATCATCTGTCTTGTAGAGCTTGTATCACCGAGCTACCTCTGGTTGGATCACAAGTCCGCAGAAGGCGTCACGTCAGTAAAAATGACTGCCGGAGACAGCAGAGTCATCCGACAGCTGCACAACCACAGCCGTCCTCTGCCCGTGGAGACGCTCTTCACCTCCCAATCTCCCTCCAGGATAGAGGCGATCGACTACGACTTTCAGCGCAACCTGATCTTCTGGGTGGACACCGGTCTGAGGGAAATACACACGGTATGATATTAAGTGGACTTAAGTCTATCATGCAAATCCAAAGCATGAGCTATTATTAGAGACCCCGCATTATCTTGACAATGAAGCTATTTCTGCTTTCTTTCAAGAGGAAGGTTTTTTCCAAGGCACTCTCCCTCTACATGTACATTCCCATTTTCTCTCACTCTCTCTCTCTCTCTGCCTCTCTGTCTCTCTCTCTCTCTCTCTCTGTCTTTGTGTTTCTCTCTATGTCTCTGTCTCTGACTGTCTCTCTCTGACTATGTCTCTCTGTCTCTCTATGGCTCTCTGTCTGTCTCTCTCTCTTTGTCTCTCTCTTTCTTGGTCGACGATAAATGTGTTTACCCAATTGCAGTTGTCCAATTCGTACATTATGTTGGACATGCAGGTAGAACTACAAGATGGTGGCATCCAGTCCTTCTCCACTCTGTTTGAGGGCATCTCGTCCGGAGTGGAGGGCTTGGCGGTCGACTGGTTAAACCAGAACCTGTACTACACTGACGCCTACTTTAACTGGATCGGCGTGGTCAGCTACAAGAACACACCGTCACGCCATCACGTAATCGTCCACAAAGGACTGGATTGGCCACGAGGTATAGCTGTCCATCCAATAGCAGGGTGAGTATTGTACTTCACCATTGGTTATGAAGAAAGGGACCGATTGCACTAGACCCAGAGCTAGATTAAGATACTACCGGCAACAACCTGATGCCTTGTTAATGATATTTATGACTGTCATCGTCAACAAAGCCCTGTGCAATTAGGTCACATATAAACTAGTTTCACGACGTACAGTACCGATGAAAAACGCCAGGTGAATCATATTGGAACCTTCGGTTTCACAGCCGCTTCTCACCTACCAAATACCTAGCAGAACGTGATTCGTATTAGAAATCATAAAATGATACTGTTCAATGAATGTTTCTTAATGCTCTACTTGTTTTTCTCAAGATACGTGTTCTGGAGTGACCGGGGAAGCCAGAACCCAAGGATAGAACGGGCGGTGTTGTCAGGGGAACAGCGGACATCAGTAGTAAAGGAAGACATCGTGAATCCTAGTGGTCTTGTGATAGATGGAAACAGGTAGGTAGCACACTCAAGTTGTTTGTTTTCGTTTCTAAGGAAAATATTTCTGAGCAAGAATTAAGAGATTTCAGGTTTTCAGGAAGTGTTTTAAGTTTTCGTCAATGTATTTGAGCTGAGGAGGGGAATGTATGATGTTCTGTTATCATCGGACATTACACCACTGATATGAGTTCCAACACGTATACTCCCACTCGGCCTTTTGACCGCATGTTATGTGGCGTGATGCAATGTCTGAATTAAACATACAAGCCCGCGCCACCCAAAACAACACTTCCGTCCCGAAAGTAAATATTGAAAGGGCAACTCTATATCAATTTCATTACAAAAGAAAGGGATTGATTCTAATAAAACAATCAGGCTAAGTTTTTTTAACTTGTGGCCATGAAGCGGTTTTTGACGTAAATGGGCCCTCAATAGCTGAAACGATAAACATAATAATCATAATAATAATAAACAATAGACTATACTATCTTATATGTGTTTGCCATCATTCACAGGTTGTACTGGGCCGACAGCTACCGTGACACCATTGACTCATGTGACCTGAATGGCAACAACAGGACGCTGTTTTATAGACTTCCAGGAACACATTTCTACGACATCACGTTTGATGGGGTAAGAGTGCCATTACATGCAATTTCTTACAATTTCTCTGGTAATTAACTCTAAAAACGGTGCCATAATGATCTGTGAGAGTTTGGAACTCTCATATGGTGAGCAGAAGTTGCTGCTAATCCGTTTGATTGTATTTTTTAAATTAATAGTTCTTTATTTGTGTGGTTGGTATGCAGACAGCCAAGTCATCTAGATACGTACCTAAATATATCTATATAGTATATACCTGATATCTATGTATCTATCGATATCTATAACTAATGGCCCTTTATTCAGTAGAATAGATTCGTTTTTATTCGTATCGAAGCCAGATTTAAGCACATCTATCCGGACAATTCTATAACAGTGGGAAAGGGCCTAGATCTATCTACCTATACTCCGTACATTTAACTAAGTTAAGGTGGTATTTATCATTATTATATGTTGCATACCATTTCACAGGATGAGATAATGGCAAGTGACTGGACCGACGACTCCATTAACTTCATCAGCGGCCACCTGCGCGGAGAGCTGCTGCTGTACTACCGGGGCGAGGGGTGGGTGTACGGCGTGGAGTTCTACGACCAGAGCCGGCAGCAATCAGGCCAAAGTAAGTCCTGTATTAGCCCTGTGTACTTATGATGGTCTTGATATTAACATTGAGTTAAGTTTATTCAAATCAACGCTTGGCATACATATATACAGTTAGCTATTCCTCTTGCGATCCATGCTGTGGTCCATGTCAGCAAAAAAAACCCTCCCCCATTCCTACCAAAAAGAGTGTAAATGACAGCAATCAGGTCAAAGTAAGTATTGGTACAGATAATTATAATGTATTGAGCCATACGTACTTACAACAGTTCTGATTAATCTCCAAGCAGATCCTTCGGTGGTCTCATATAAGACAGTATCAAATTGGCCAGGCAGTATCTATGTTGAACTGGGACAGCCCCATACCCCCTCACGCTAGTAACGAATGGTAGGGCCCAGTAAGGGCCAGAAGAGGACCGAGTGCCTTGTATCAGTTACTTCTGGAGTTTGATTCTGAGAAGCAGAGCTTGGGAGCTGCTGGAAGTCAAGATCTGGTGTGTTCGACTGGATCCTTGGTATCCCAAGTACGGACCTAATAACACTTTTAATGTAACATTATTTTTATTATCCAGCCGACTGCCAGGTCAACAATGGCGGCTGTACCCACACCTGTGTGGGGGACCCAGACGGACACAGGTGCTTGTGTCTAGAGAACTTCCACCTGGCGGGGGACAACCATACCTGCATCGCAAGTACGGAAATATAGTTTTAATCACTACATAGATCTATTTTTGTATATTGTTTTGACAATATAAATATATATCAAACAGGAATACAAGAAATCGCTGTGACGTCATGGTAGGCAAAAAGCGGGTGACGGTTGGTTGATTTGCCTACCGATAGTTTGCATATGTATTCAAATAATTTACATGTATATCATGTAAACAAAAATAACAATCGCTCGTATATACAGCCATAATGATTTCTCTTCTGGTAACATTTAGCGTTTGATGTTCACCTATAAGCTTTAAATTGGCATAATGTATTATGATAGCCGTAACTTACTTGCCCTACAATAAGGTGGTTCATAATAAGACTGCATATGCCCAATGTAAATGGTGATATTCCCTAAAACGTAAACAAAACTCGTCAAATCATGCTTTACACGTGTCAACACCTGTTTAGTTTACGTGTCGGGGGACTTTGACATATTATCCATAATACATCGCATTGCTCATGGATAATCTTAATTATGAACCTCGGGTGAAAGTGTTGTTTTGATTGTCTGGTGTGGGATTCGCTTTTTTTTACAGACGAACATCCCTTCTCGAAGGCCCTTTTCGTCGGAAGTGATTCCGGAATTCTCCAGTTGCCCCACAACTTCCGTAAACTGCCCGAAGCGGGCGACTGGACTGACTCGTACATTGTACAAGGAACCAAAGCCTTTGCGATGGATTTCGATTACGCTGGTGTGTCTTTTTAACTTAATTTTATACTCTGCTATATGTGTACAACTTTTTGTCAATTTTGTACTGACTTTTACTTAGACTTGGTCTGGATGTATATTCCAACCGCTTTAGCTTTAATACGTTCTACTTGTCACGTCCCTGCCGAAAGAACTTGACCCACACATGTTCTCTTCGTCCGTCATTTGAATTTTTGTTGTAAATTTGAACAGACACGCTGATAGGCCAAACCTGTCACAGTTGAATTAGCTCATTACGTGACGTGACTACCTTCTTTCCTGCAGGGAAGATGGTTTTCTACACACAACAACAAGCTGACGGGACACAAAACATCGAGAGGCTCTCGTTGATCGGTGAAGGTAGTACGACGACGATTTTCGAAAACGGACAAGGAATCGAAGGTAAAACTTGAAATATTTTGCTTCGTTTAGCACCATAACGTAGGTCTTCATGAACGCCTTGGGAGTATGAAACCTATGGTCTCACCAATCATGTCATGGCTGTTACAGTGGCAGAGGCTTCAGTTAATCTGCGTAAAAGACACTCTAAGACTGACTTAGCCTCTGCCAGGCTTCGGGAAGTGGTTGAAAAGAGTCTAGATCGGCACATAGACAGATTATATGCCATGTGGAGTTGGTCCGCGCTGATCATGAGAGAACAGGGTTAGAGTGGTAAATTGTTCTCTTAGCGCTGACCAACTCCCTTGGTATATCATTTGTGCCATCTGTCTATTTGGCCGGTTTTTACTCGTTCCACCCGAGCCTGGTAGCTAGAGGCTAGAACTGACATAGCCTCCGTAGCAGGCTTATAGAACTGGGGGTTTGGTGGTCTTCGGCTGTTTTCTGATTAGCCCAGTTCTCAAATAACGGGGCTAATTCAACCAGGCCGGCTATGTTGTCTATACGCAATCAGAAAATAGCACATAAAAGCTCCCAAAGACCCTGAAGACTTCCAAAAGCCCAGTTTTTGGCATGCTATGGAGGCTATGACTTACACCCGTACCCTCAGGCATTGCCGTTGACTGGGTGGCCTCCAACCTGTACTGGACCGAGCGGCAACTCGGAAGGATCCACGTGTCCAAACTGGACGGATCGCTGAGGAAGGTTCTGATGTCCGGACTGGACCAGCCAAGTGCCATCGCAGTGCACCCTGGGCGCTCGTAAGAGCCTTATTCTTAGTCTTATTTGCTGTTCCAGTATCTTTAGCCTGGGTGGCAGCTTTTTTCCTAGCTGTCGTAACCTTACTCGGTCACTTCCTTGTCAAATTCCTTGTCGAATTCTGAACAAACATTCAAATGCCAGTCTGAGACTGAATATTTGCGAGTTCAGGTAGGGAATCGACCGAAAGAACCTAGCACTACTTATAGCCTAATTGGCCACAGTATGCTGCTTTCAAAGTAACCACTGTTACCAATGAGGTTTTTCCTTGTTGTAACAATGCTCGCCTGGCGAAACTAGCTTTGTTACTTTCACAGAACAAATATACTGTACCTTGAAGCTACTTGTTCTCACACTGCTTTAGGTACGTGTTCTGGACAGAGGTTGGTGCAGACCCCAAGATTTCCCGCGCATCTCCCGATGGTAGCAGCAAACTCCTGCTGGTCTCCTCACAAAGACGTGATATCACAGGCAATCCTACTGCTTTGGCCATGGATTACCTCCAAGAAAGGTACGTATGTTATAATGTGTTGCACCATATTTATCACCTATATAGACCATTGAAAGGACAGCTACTGATGTGATCTTCTATAGTATCATCATTGAGCTACTTATGATGAGCAAATAATTGACATGTTATCTTATTGCCAAACTGACATTGACATAATTGAATCGTAAGAATCACATCATTGATCCTAAGCGTGCCTTATTGGCTAATTATCTATGCACAACTTTTTTGTCATTAAAGGCATCAAATTTGTTGGCATTTGCACTCCATGAATGTTGATATGCATTGGGGTATTGTTGCTTAAACGTAGTATGTAGATAAGTGTCCAGACTATTGACTTAAAAAATCTGGTTTTCAAGTCGTAAAAATTGCATTAGGCACCTTTAAATCATGCTTTTGACGTAATGACAGTGTAACCAAGAGCAATGGGGACTTATTGTCAGACCACAGAACTTTTCTATTTGATAATTACCTGTCTACATTTAACCCAATGCTTTTGACGCAAGATCTGTATAACCGATAGGGGCTTATGGTTGGACCACAAAAACCTATGTGGTGATCACCCATGTTCTGTGTAATGTTGTAGGGTATACTGGGTGACCAGCGACCCTGGCAATGTGCAGTCCTGTAACCTGAATGGTGGTGACGTCAAGACCTACTGGTCATCAACTAATGCCAACCTGGACGGTGTTGCCATATACAAGGTAATTTAGGTTGTTGTTTTGTTTTCTGGTCGATAAACCATTGTTACTTTATCACCGTTACAATTGTCCCTTTTCTCTGGCTATAGAAGCTGGTGGTGTGTTACGCCGAAAGGCGGTTATACCGGCTATACAGAATATACAGATATAGCCTGAATGTCAGCCTTTGTAGCTTTCAGTAATACGCTATCTCGGTCTCTTCGCTGCCAAAAAGACTGGAACTACACATATTATATCCTTGTATTAATTGAATATTTGTCCAGAATTGTCAAACCTGAGTGATATATAACTGAATCTGAAAAACAGCTCAGAGCAATTTCACATATTTTTTAATACTAAATGTATTCTACTTTGGATGGATAGGATTATGTGATTTGGACGGATAACGCCAACCGAACCCTGACCAATGGCATACCGTACTATAACTACTATGGAGGAGTGGCGAACATGAAGACGACTAGAATGTCCACAGCACCGTACAACATTAAAGTATACGACGACACGGAACAACCGCTCTTTACAAGTAAGGCAAATGATAATGTGCAGTAGAAAATTGGGGTTATATGGGGGAATTGCGAGAGGAAGGTGATAAAAGAGCATAGGGCAAAGAGATGCGTGCAATGTTGCTCTAAGAGAGAGAGAGAGAGTACATGCGCGTTTCTTTGTGTTTATGTAACACGATGTGTATCTATGTGTGTGTCCATGTGTACATTTGTATATGTGTGCGTAACCGATAACTGTATTCCTGCCTTAAATATCGGTGTTGCCTTCGTTTAACTTGCCACCATTACATTATTATCATAATAATCAATTATCGTAATCAACTTTATCTTTTACTCAGGTGTGTGTGACCATCAAAACGGCTTGTGTATGGAGCTGTGTATACCCACTACAGACAGCCGTGTGTGCGCCTGCGCAGAAGGACGCTATATTCAAGAAGACAGAGTGAGCTGTGCTGACCTTCGACCTTCCATTCCCCCAACCACCCCGCCACCTACAGGTCAGAACCACGTGTACACAGACATAACATTAACATTTGTCATCAGGTTTAGATAAAAGTATGTACGTGTATTGCTTGCATGTATTGCATTTATTCAACAAAATAGGAATTAAAATATACTGTCCTGAAATAGGTTTATCAGGCCGGTGCACAAAAAGGACATTTGAATGTGGCCTTTATACATGATGTGGCTGCAATAGCTATAGAAGCTAAAGATTCTTTATTACTACGGAAAATAGTGACGGTCACAGCATCTAACACTATGGCAACAGTCAGTTCTCGGTCTGACAATATTTAGTTGTAATTAGCACTTAAGTGAATACATAAATCAACAAGATTAACGTGTTCTGTTATTAGTCATCATGGACTGTGGAAGGGCTGATAGAAGTGTGATGTGGTCAGGATAGCTACGGGTTACGCTACCAAAACATGTAAACTTTCTTCAGTTTGTGTCACTAGAGCATCATTCCCCAATGTTATTAGTGTTGACAATGTAAAATTTTATATTCCGTTGGACCAGGTGGGTACTCTCCGGAAGACTTCGTCCTGGTTGTCGACAGCAGTACAGGCAACATCTCGGAAGTCAACGTCACTTCCGGCTCCAACGTCACACTTCCGCTCCATTCCACCCTGCCAATGGCGCTTGACTATGACGTAACAACAGGCTATGTCTACTGGTCGGATTACGTAGATGAGAGGATCTATCGGGCTAAAAGAGATGGCTCTGGATTTGAGGCAGTCATCAACAAGAGCGTAATCGGTAAGCTTTTTTCTGATATGGTATAAAACCTCATGCTTGTATATCAAAACACAACGTACAATGACTTACTTTCTGGTTCTATGGTCTAAATGTTATACTTATACTACTATAATAATCTGTTTCATATGAGCTTCAAAGATTTGAATTGGGCAACACATTGGGGTTGTAACTGACATACGACGTCTGCTGATTTAGCTCACTTCGGTATCACACCATGGCTTACATTTCAAAGCATGATAAAACACATTCCTGGCGATCCCACACCACAGCCAGGGCATACCGGGTCACAACCCTGTCAATCAAATGAAACCGAATCTCCACCCAATCACAATCCTCGCTGCTGAGGACGAAATGCGTACAAACTACCCCTAGACCAGCATTGCATCGATAAATCTGTCTCTGGGGTTAGAAAACATTTGTGACAGGTAAATATTTCATACTCCACCAGTTGTCTATGGTAACGACTTTTAACATTGAGAATATGTTTTAAAAACGTTTATAACTGATAAATGATTTATATTACTCTAGGTGTATATGGGATATACGGCCTGGCGCTTGACTATGCAGGACAGAACATCTACTGGACAGACTGGGGGACGGAGATCGTCGGCGTGGCGGGGTTCGACGGAAGCAACGCGCGGGCGGTCTTCTCCGAGAACATCGACTTCCCGGGAGGCATAGCTTTGGATCCGGAAGCAGGGTAAAGCTTCATGAGTGGATGGATGGATGGATGGATGGATAGATGGATGGATGGATGGATGGATGGAGGGATGTATAGATGGATGGATGGATGGATGAATGAATGGATGAGTTGAATGGATGGATTAATGGATGAACTTGAACGCGTGGGCTGTCTTCTCCGAGAACATCGACTTTCCGGGCGGCATAGCTTTGGATCCGGAAGCAGGGTAATCCGTTTTTCAAAATACTTAAGTTTCATGAATGAAGGAAAGAATGATCGAGAGAATGGACGGATGAATGGATAGATGTATCGATGGATGGATGGATGAATGGATGAACTTTATTGCGACAAGGGTCTGATTCTCTGGCAGTCATATTATTGCAGTAATCAGATAATATTGCACTGAGAAAGGTAGCCGAAAGTACTATTGCCAATTAAATATCTCTTGGAACTTTATTAACCGTATTTCTAACCCGTTAGTTACATGTACTGGACGGATGCAGCCTACTGGAGACCGAGGATCGAGCGGGCTGCGATGGACGGCGGTGAGAGAACTACACTCATCAGTAGCGGGCTAGACACACCTACTGGAATCGCCATTGACCCGAAAGGTAATTTGATTCAATACAATGCAGCCTCGTTGCCTGGTTGTCAGTCTTTCTAGTTTTAGTGGTTTTAGGCGAATTGGCACATGTATTCTGTCTGTCTGTTGACTTCATTTGAATATTTGTTCAAAATTTCGAAAGGCGCTCTAATTCGCCACCAATCAGCAAATGCTTAGCTTATTATGTGACGTGATCACATCGTAACTGCCTTTAGCATAACTTTAATTTTACAATTAGACTGTTAGACATTTTTACATCATTCTATTATATCCTTCATTTTTGCAACATTTCCCCACGGATGGGTTAAAAAGAGATCACACCATGTTCCATTTTCTCCACAGAACGCCGCCTGTACTGGGGCGATTCTGGGACGCACAACATTCAGAGCTCCGACATGTACGGCAACAACCGGCGAACTGTGGTTTTACAGGGTTCTACATCATTCTTTGATCTCGCCCTTCATGTCCATGACTTGTTTTGGACCAGCCGGGCAGACTTTATAGGCATGTGAGTACCGCAATAGATTAATTGTAACATTTTTTGTCAATGGTAGGTACTGGCAGCCATGTTGGTGTCCCTATAGTTGCAGTAGGTCGTAACTCAAGCGTTAACATCATTTTTGTCGATCTTTTATTCGTGGCAAGCTTTTAATATCCAAGCAGATCATGCAGTGGCAAGGCAGTATTCATTGGCTAGAGGAGTGTACATTGTTCGGGTAATGATGATATTTGAATATCCGAAAACGCTTGCTACAATCCACTGAAATGCAAATATGGGCTCCAAAATGGCGGGGGACTTAACAATGACGTCATGTGAAAATGCTCTGAACATGAATGTTCTTTTGAAGTCAATTCAGTAACGGTACAAGGATGTTTGCCAGCATTATCTCTTACATCTTCGACTGTTGTGATGATTTTTTCTTTACGTAATACCTACTATTTTGTAACTTACTGGCCACAGCAATGCAAAATCATCAGCTGGTCAGGGAGCAAACCGAGTTCTTGCCGGCGGTTTCACGAGCCTAAGAGGCATAACCTTGTACGGGTCTGGTCTGCAGCAATCCGGCGTTACAAACGGTGAGATGTCATTAATATTTGACAACAGATACTGTTTTTCTTTTACCTCCTGACGAAATTGCAGTAATAGGAGTGACAGACGTTGACATCGATATCATAATACTTTTAGATAATCTTTTCAAATTCGTTGCAGTAACCATCGCATCCCAAAGCATATTTACCATTTGTACCAACTTGAATCTTACTTTTCCAATTTTGGACTTTAAAAAGTTTAGGACATGTACATCAACATATGCTGTCATTATTCCTCAGGAACATTCCGTTTTTTATTAATTTGTTTTTATTTTAAATACATCAGCTTGCTCAGAACCAGGCGGAGGTTGTCAGGATATGTGCTTGGCTCGGCCCGGTGGAAGAACGTGCATCTGTAGGGCTTACTTTGTTCTCCAGAAAGACAACACCACGTGTGCTCCTCCTGGTAAGACTGTTTCTTTCCTTCATATGTTTCCTTTTCTTCATCTAGCTTGCCTCTTTTAGTTTTAGTACGCTCTCTTATTCCCGTATACCTTCCAAAAACACTGGAACCACAAATATTCGGTCCCTCTGACATTTGAATATTTGAACAAAATTTTAACAGGCGTGCTGATTGGCTATCTCGAATACATGAGTGTCCAGTATTTTAGAAGCGACCGAAAAAGCATACTCACATTGAAAGCTAAAGGGCTTGCGTAAAAGGCTATTCAAAAGTAGCGAGCAAAGTAAAAGTTTGTCAGTCACTCGTGTCTCTATTGCAAGTTCAGATTTCGTACTTTAAAAACTGTTAACCAGTGAAGTTTAGATAATATATCGAGTTCATGCGCAACTTTTCCACTCAATGTAGAAATAAAGGTTCCGAGCTATCTTTGGATCAACCTTCTGGAGTCAGGCACGACCATGGTCCGTATGTTCGAGGGCAACAGCAGCACCGTCAGGAATCTAGCACAACAAACTGTACAGGTCACCAACCTGCTGGCCGCCAAGTCTCCGTCTGTCGTTGTCTCCCTGGACTACGACATACGCCAGGGTGTGGTGTTCTGGATTGATATTGGACTGAAGGAGATACAAGAGGTAAACCATTTGTGACACAATGTTATATGCTTCAACATCATAATTTGAAGAAAATACACAGCTGTTCAGGTGCCCAAATTTAAGTGTTCATGTTGTACATAATTATAGCATCTAACAATCAAGAAATTGTTTTCAAATGTCCGGGAAGTAGATCTAGTTTGCGTTAATGAATATGTATAATTGCATCATAGACTATATTATTACCCATTCGATTTAATTTATTCCAGTATAACACCGTGGTTTACATTTCATACATTCTACCCATATATGGCCATACCTCTTTTTACCACATACTACCAACAGGTAAATGTCAAGACTGGAGAAGTAACAGCATTGAAGACTGAGGTTTCGACCGGGGCAGAAGCTCTCGCTGCCGACTGGGTCAACAAGAATCTCTACTACACCGATTACAACTACAACAGGGTGGTCATGGTGTCGTACAGCACAGGAAAGAGCAATGGCAACAGTCACATCATCGCTGAAACCGGTCTGGATAGACCCAGAGGAATCGCCGTGGACCCAAGAGCAGGGTAGGTCTATATATAGACCAATCCAGATCGAACACGTCGAACCCCCTGATCTATTTCGAACACCTCAATAGAACATGTCAAAGGTTCGGTGTGTTCGATGACTAATCACATTACCCAGAATGCATCACACTAAGCATGTGCAGTCGCAGTGGCGTTGTAAATGTTGATTATTCTATTTTTTTTATTCCTTGCGATCGTAGGTACGTATTTTGGAGTGACTGGGGACTGTCTCCGAAAATTGAGAGATCCACGCTGTCGGGAGAAGGTCGCACGGCGATCGTGGAGTCTGATCTTGGAAGGCCAAGCGGTCTGGTGATTGACTACGTCAACAATAGGTTAGTCTAACTCACTAAACAGTGCAAACCCCATCCTTCTATAGGCTTTTGTATATAATATCACCATTTTAACCAGCAGTCAAATCAAGGCATTGTTGACAACGGCAATTGCAGCATCTGTAAAAGCTACCAATACTGTTTGTAAGTAATGAAAATGAAAAATTGCCAAATTTCGACGTACAGTTCCAAACGTGTGGCTTATTTAAACGCCAAAGTTGATATTGTTAGTTATCCAACGTGCTGCGTTGGCTTTTACGTTAATTATTGTGTAATGGATTTTGTTGTTCTGCCGTAGATTGTATTTTGCGGACACCGAGCGTGACAGAATCGAGTCATGTGACTTCAACGGTGGCAATCGGCAGCAGTTTTACTCTCTGTCGGGGACACATTTCTACGACATCACATTCGATGGAGTAAGTAAGCTAACTCAGTTTTAAGAAGAACAGATATAATTTAAAAGAGTAGAAATTGGCCAAATAGAGAGATAAAATGCTAGGGGAGTTGATCAGCCAGAGAGTACGCATTTGACGCCAGTGCCTTTTCATCACAGGAAGAGATCGCGGCCACAGACTGGTCGGACAGTACCATCAACTTCATCCACACGTCGCGGCCCATCCTTGCGTACGGCTCAGCCAGCGTGAGTCGGGTGTTGGGAGTGGAGTTCTACGATGAGAGCAGACAACAAGCCGGACAATGTAAGTCGGACTCGGTCACATAGTCACGATAGTCGTATGTAGATCGTACGGACGTCGTACATACATCGTACGGCGGTCGTACATACATTGTATAGATTTTACTTCGATGTCAAACTTCATTGACATATACCCAAGTAATGTTTTCAAAACTTTGAAATACGATTTACTCACGTCTTACCAACAACAGTAGTAGGAGGCATCCTTCCATAGCGGAATATGATGTTAGCATTCTAAGTCTGAGGAGTTGTGGCCGTGTGCAGCGTCTAGTGTGTCTAATCTTTGCATGACTTACAAAAATTGTTCTCTTCTTTATACCCAGCCGACTGCCAGGTGAACAATGGCGGCTGTCAGCACACCTGTGTGGGAGACCAAAGTGGGCACAAGTGTCTCTGTCTACCTGACTACACTCTGGCTGGAGACCAGAAGAACTGTATCAAAAGTATGTCATTTTTATCCCATGTGTGGAAGTAATATTTTGGGTGTCGCTGGCCATGGTTTGGAAGCAGTTTGTATGTATGGATCCTGTGTTTTCTATCAGTATCTCTATCAGTACAGCCGGTATAACCGCCCTTCGGCGTAACACAAGCGACGCAGTGGCAGTTGGCTATATTGGGTTCTAGAATTAGAATGGGAGTGTACATTTAATAGTCGAGATAAGTCATACAGACAGGCGTATGGACGTCAGCGGGCAGAGATTGGGTCTTAGTTGATTGACATGGTGGTGACCAGGTATGCCCTGCGTCTTTATGGTCGCCATTTTGGATAAGACAAATCCATATCACCTTTTTTTTTTAAATCTAAAAAGGATTTGGTCTACGTCATGATATACCAGTTGTAAACGCATGTTCTAAATATCCAAAACAAAATGTGTCTCCCCAGATGACCACCTGTTCACCAAGGCTCTACTTGTGTCCACGGATGAGGGCATACTGCAGTTCCCGCACAACCTAGCGGATCTGCCTGGAACTGCAGACTCCACACCGACTGTCCTGGTGAAGGGAGCGAAGACAGTTGCAATGGATTTTAACTACAATGGTGGGTATATACTAGTACTAGTAGTACATGAGGGGATTTGGGTATTCTAAACCTACTGAAAGTGTACTGGGGTTAGGTGTGATAGACGGGTCCAATAGCATCGCCTTGGTTTATACATAATTCGATGGCAGGTTAGATCAGATAAAAGTCCTTCCCGTACCAGGTGGTGCATAGGGCGGCACCCATCTCCAGTTCAGTAGCCCTTGGGCCACATAATTGTGCAGTTGGGGCTACTCCACTGGTAAAGCTGTGTGTTCAACTCCCAAATGCTGAGTGCTAAGCAGAGAAAGCAGTATTTACCAGAGTTTTTGGTATGACTCGGCCGGGGATCGAACTCGCGACCTACCGAATTCAGATCACAAAAGATGAGGTGTAATTCATTCATTTTCATATGTTCAATTGTATTGTTCTCACATCATTAGAGAGAGCCGTCTACTACGCCCAAGAAAACGGTCGGATGCAGAGTATCCAGAAGTACGACTTGGCGACAAACCGTTCCTATGAGATCTACTCAGGGCCGTACTTAGAAGGACGTGG